GCCTTACCGGGCGCCCGCGCCGGGCAGCGCCGCCGCCCTGGGGTCCTCCCACCGTTCCCGCCGTGGCGCTGCCCCGCTCCCCGGCGGCCCCCGCGGCCTGTCTGGGGCAGCGCCGGTGCCTGCCTGAGGCCGGCCTTCCTCAGGAGCCTCCGCGGGGATGAGCGTTGTCCCGAGCGGGAACATCCCGCCTGCCCCGGGGAGCGGGTTTCTTGCTATTTCCCTCAGCCCCGAAAGACAGAACAGTAACAGCTTGGTGCTTGGGGTTTTTCCCTGGTTCCATCGGGACCCTTACCAGGGCTGCGGTGTTCAGCTGCAGCCCGATTCCTCTTAAAATAACCTTGTGATACGGAGAATATTTTACAGGTGGAGATTATGCAGGAAGCTTACAGTCAAGTTCAACGTTTAGCTGCTGAACTCCTCTTTTCTTTAACATAAATCAACGCAGAAGATGCGTTACTTCAGTTTGTTACAGCACATGTGGAAACACTGGTTTCCTACCAGTACTTGGTTTCTGTTTCTGCTTCGCTCTGACTTGGTCTGTCTGTTCTTGCAGTTGGCAATGGAGGGAACTCCTGACTTCACAGCAGCTCACCAATGACACGTACAAAGTAACGCCAGAAACATACATGTCTTAACAATACCTAAAAACCAAAAAGGGACCCAGCAATTTAGAAAGCTTGTACTTTGGTTTTTGCTCATTAGCCTTATCTTGGTATCTGGAGGTTAGCAGGACAGAGCTCCTGAAGTAGTGGGGTTGGCAGCCTCTGGTCTTGACATTACCTGCAGAACCGGTGACCTTCAGGTCCAGTAAACTTTAACTTGGTTGCAGCTATTCCCTAACTTTGGAGCCACATGTGATTACTGACTCCCATGCCAGAACAGCTGCTCGTGGGAAGGTCCTGGTGCTGCCAGGCTGTAAGAATCCCTGCGATACGAAAGTAACCCAATGGGAACTGTAGAGGCTGGCAAACCCAGGTTCCCCAGGGGTCCCTGGGCGCACAGCTCGTTCTGATCCATGGTGGACTGTGCAAGAACTTGTGGTCACTTCCCAGGAAATGGCTGTCGTCATCTGCCTGTGAGCTGCTTTGGAATGGCTTCCTCTTTTCAGCCCCTCCACGATGTGCAGTATGGCTCCTCTGCCTTTCAGCCATTTGAAAATTTTGATTTGCAGCCTAAAGATTCATGGTTACCCCCCTTGGCTTTAAATGTTCAGCGAGTGGCTTCATGGAGGGCTATGCACTGGAATCGTACTGACAGCCTAGTGCTTCAGCAAAGACTGTTGACCAGCCACCTGATGGATCCACCCAGTAACTCCATAAAGTCTACAACCAAGTTAGATGCACGTCTTTTTCTGAGGTATTATCGCATCAACTTGCAGTCACCACATTAGTACTAACAAGAGCCTGCACCATGAAATCAACTCTCAGTCAAGCTGAAGTACATTTCTGATGTCCAAGGCAGGGAAAACTGTGATTCAACACCCAGAATCAGCAGCCTCAGGGATTTGGTTGCCTCAGTGCCATACTGGCCACACAGATGGATTAAATCGGGGAACCTCACAAAGTCTGGTATTTATCATGTCAGATCAGGTGGCCACAGTTGTGATGACCTGAAGCTGTAGACAGACCCATTTATTCACTCAAGCCCACAAAACTGAAGTAATTAATAGCTCCTGAGATTGAGTTTTTTAACATAACCCCGATAAGCTGGAGCTGAGTAAATGACCATGCAATGGTCACAGTAAAAGACCACTTCACTGTGTTTATTATCACAAGCAGGATCCCAGCATGCCACATTTGCTGACCCAATACAATCCAACAAAGGCAACCAGAAATGCAGAACTACTAACTTCATAAACCATTTTTTCTTGACGCTACTTCGGTAATCCCAGGGCACTGAATCCTAAAACTTGATTCTGTTACATTAAGATACTTAGTAATCTCAGAAGTCCTTTGACTCATCATCAGCCCAACAATGTGGAATTGTTGAGTAGCTATTAAAATATGGAGACGTGTAGGCGAATTAAGTTCCTTTCATTTGCATCCTTCTAGGCCGGATGAGTTTGGCTGCTTCAGAGCTTGCATCTTGACTGCCTGGGGAATTTTGGTCTAATCTGATAGGGGAATCTGCAGTGGGAATAGCACAGCACTTACCCGAGTTGTTTATGGAGGTCCAAATCACTCGCACAGGTGTGTGAAGCAACACTGGTCCCTGATGGGAGAAGAACTGTCCAGCTGGGAATTTCCTACAGTCTCACTTTCTCAATAACATCTGCCCCTCTGCGATCCTTCTCTCTAGTCAAGGAAAGATAAGAGACTCAGTCACATTTCCCCCATGACCAGATTAAAGAAAAGGGAAACAATACTGGGTTTTCACCCCTGCTGCGAGACAGAGAAAATGTCTAGTCATGGAGTAAAGGGAGAGTGGTGTTTTTGATTTGGTTCTTGATAAATCTGTTTAGAATGGGACCCTATTCTGAATGCAAAGAGGAGCGTAGGCTTTATTTCTCTTAGCACATCTTTTGTTCTTTCACGTGTATGTTTCTATACACTCAGATATAACATCGTTATATAAACCTATGTGCCTTATTCCAAGATACTGGCAGTACTCAATTTTATTGCAATAAGGTTTTTAAAATTGTAAAACTTACAGGTACAACTGCAATTAACTTCACTTTGATGTTCAGCCTTTGCAGCATCAGTATGCAACAGATTTTTCAATTCTCTCACAAGTCTGTCCGCACAAGCGAAGCTATCTTTCCGCACGTAGAGCTGATGTTGGCACAAAGCGGATGAGTTTTAAGAAACTGAGAGAACTAAGATCTGAAGCATTTCCTCACGCATCCCCTCAGGCTGGCATCCCGTTCCGTCGCATGTCGGACTCTCCTTTCCTGCGCAGTCAGCGCGTTTCCCGTAGCGGCAGCTGGAACGCCGCTGAGGTAATTTCGCTGGCTGAAAGGCGTACGTGCGGTCAGGTACGGGCCTCCACGCCGCCGCGACCCGACACCTTTCCGAGTCTTCTTGGAACACCAGGCGCCCGGGGCCGGCGGGGCCCTCCCGCGCCTGAGCCCGCGGCAGCGCCCCCAACAGGGACCGGCGGCGGCTCCGCCGGCTGCGGAGCCCGCAGGGAAGCTGGCTCCGGGGCCTCGCCCCGGTCCCGGGCCTCCCGCCGCACTGCGTTAGGGCGGAGGAGGCGCTGGGGGCGGGGGG